CAGTGTAGCTCAGGTAGTACCCAAATATGTACTCCCCTCTCCAATTGAAGGGAATATTAGCAGGGCAGGTGCACTGTGGGGTGAAACCGCGTGCTGCACCCAGTTTCCCTCCTTCCCCTATAGAGGCAGGCCAGGACACGCAATAAACTTAACTATGTACAAATTTAATGTGATGTCGAAGTTGCCATATTAACATATTTACACATAAAAGGTATGAGCCATAGACAGCTTTTATATACAGGTCAGTGCAAATACTCTATATAAAAGTGAAGAGTCTGAGAGGATCAAAAAAAGGGTCTCATAAAAGGTCATACAATCTTATACTCTAATGAGGTGTAAGAATGACAAAGCATTAGGTGCAGATTCACAAAATATGAGGCAAAGAAGCATCAGATACAAAAGCCAGATCTCAAAAAGAAACACCAGAACCACCCTTGTTGCCCTGGAGCAATGGCAGTGCCCCCAAAGATCCCCAAAGGAGAGGAGAGAAGAGAAGAAAGAATCCCCGGGCCCAACAGGCCTTTGTAACCCAGCTTGATAGCCCCCCCGAGGGGAACCTCACAGCCGGGTCCCATGGGTGACTGGTGCCCCCCCAGCAGCCAGTCAGCAACTTGGGCGGGGGCCCCCAGCCGATTTCATCTGGCCAATCGCGCTGACCCAGAAGCATGAGCGACGCTCCCAGATGTGCCAGCAATGCTTCTCCTGGCACCCCTGCTCCCCGGCCAGCGCTCTCAGGGGGGGCACCAGCACTCCTGCCTGCCCCCCCTACCCATTGCCTAAGTGGGGAGAGCTGGCTGTCAAAGGATGTACCAGCGCTCTCAGGGGGTGCACGTGCACTCCTGTGCACCCACTATGCATCGCTACTGCCGGGGCCCTCCCCATTGAAAGGGCTTCCCCTTCAGGGGCTAACCACAAGTGATGGGGGGAGATCCCTCCTCCCCTTTGGGAGTCCCTTTCCCTAGTAACTCACAGCTCTCAGAGGCCCCTCTCATTCTTATGCTGCTCATGCTCTCCCAGCTTCTGGCCTGCTTGGGGCCGTGTGCCACTCCCTGTCCGACAATCCGTCTTTGGGCTCTTCTGGGGCTACTGCTCCGCCTGGCTGGCCAGCTCTGCCAGCTCTTCTTTGCCCTCTTCTTTGTCCCTCGATAGAGCTGCCCATGTGCTGGGCACGCTGCCTTTTTATTCCCTTTAAAGGCTCCGCCTCCGGTTTGGAAATGGAGGGGGTTAATCCTCTCTCCAGTCCAGCTCTCTGCCTCATCCCACAGTAGGGGTGGGACAAGTCTCTCCCCTACCATCACCTGATTGATGGGGAAGGAAAAAATACCCCACCAATCACTTTGAGCCTTCTCGAAGCTGGCACACTGAGCTGCTGCCAGCAAGCCCGCCACACTAGGATGCTTTGCACCTCCCCTGCAAACCCCTCCTTGCCGGGTGGGTGGGCTAGCCTTGCCCAAGCTGTCTGCTCTAGCTGAGCAGGGAGGTGTGCTCTAGTACCCCCTCGCCCCCCAGCTTCTGGCCTGGGCCATTGCAGGTATGTGGCTTCATTTGCATTTCCAGAATTAAAAATGAATGTCTGTTCACTTGCTTATCAGTTCAATCTACACAGCTTAGACTTAACCTGGGAAGTTTGAGTTGATTCAGCCTTGGGCTTTCTGACTGTCAGTACTTAATCTAAATGTTTAGAACTCAGCTGTCTGCTGGGAATAGCTTGTATTTCATATCTGCTGAGTTGCAGGGGATGCACTGTCACTAAGCCTTTATTGTTATTTTCCATTTAAAATCATGGAGATTCTGCAAGGCTCTAACTGATCTTTGAGAAAAGAGAAAAAGTTGCAAGAACTCCAGACATTCACATGAGATGATAAGTGACAGCAAGAGCTCAGGGAAGGGAAGGAGTCATAGTTTCATAGTTTCTAGGGTCCTAGTATCATAGTACTTAGGGTTGGACCTGAACAGATCATCAGGTCTGACCCCCTGCCCCGGGCAGGAATGAGTGCCAGGGTCATATCACTCCAGCCAAATATCTTTCCAGCCTCCTCTTGAAAACCCCCAAGGTAGGAGAGATCACCACTTCACTTGGGAGCCCACTGCAGAACCTGGCAGCCCTAACCATAAAGTAACGTCTCCTGATGTCCAGCCTGAACCTTGTCTCTAACAATTTGTGGCTGCTATTCCTAGTAACCCCCAGTGGTGCCTGTGGGAACAGAGCCTCATGTATTTTCTGCTGGTACCCCCGGTGAGTTTATAGACAGCCAGCAGCTCCCTTCTTAGTCTTCTCTTATGGAAGCTGAATAGATTTAGGCCTTTTAGTCTATTTTTGTAGGGCCTGGCCTGCTGCCCCGTGACCATGTGAGTGGCTCTCCTCTGCACCCTCTCAAGGTTAGTCACATCCCTCTTGAAGTGCGGTGCCCAGAACTGGATGCAGTACTCCAACTGTGGCCTGACCAACGCCGCATAGAGGGGAAGGATCACCTGCTTGTGATGCATCTGTGGATGCACAACAAGGTGCAGTTAGCCTTACTGACCGCTTCCTCGCATTGGTGACTCACATCCACAAAAACTCCAAGATCCCTTTCAGCCACTGTGTTGTTGAGAAGGGTGTTTCCCAGCCTATAGGTGTGTTGCTGGTTCCTTCTCCCTAGATGTATCACCTTGCACTTGTCTGCATTGAACTCCTTCCTATTCTCATCCACCTACCTCTGTAAGCTGTCTAGATCTAGTTGGATTCTGTCCCTCCCTTCCAGCGTTCCCAGTTCTCCCCACATCTCTGTGTCATCAGTGAATTTGGACAGTGTGCTTTCCACGCCCACCTCTAAGTCACTGATAAAGATGTTGAATAGCACAGGGCCGAGGACCGAGCCCTGGGGGACTCCACTGCCCACATCCCTCCAGGTCGAAAAGGACATGTCCACCACCACTCTCTGGGTGCGACCATCAAGCCAATTTGCCACCCATCTGACTGTGTAGGCATCAATGCTGCAGTCACCTAGGTTTTTTTAATGAGAATGGGGTGAGAAAGAGAGTCAGCAAAAGATGTTTTCTGATTATAAAGAAATAGAGAAAATATTAAGACCCAGATTCTGTTACCATTTGTGTGTGCTTGAATGGCACTTAACTTCATAGGTGGCATTTTTGGCATTTGTGCCCAGGTTGTGATTCTATTATTTGATTAGCAGAGGTAAGTCACAAAATCCCCCTGAGAAAAAAGAAAAGGAAATCTGTAAGTGTTGTCATGTTTTAGTCCCAGCAGCTAAGAAGACCAGTCATTTTCTCAGGGTGCAACCAACACAGTTTATCAACAACTTCCTGCAAGGGGGTTTGAGCATGCGTCTCTCCAGCTTTACCCTCTGACCTGTTCTAGTCCCTCCCCTAGTCCCTTCTTTTCAAACTGAGGTATTTAATTGAACTCAGTTACCCCTATTCCTAAAGTATGAGTGGAACACATGGCATAATCCACCTCAAAGTAACCAATCCCAGTTTTATTTTTAAAAGTTAATAATTCATAGATTCATAGATGTTAGGGTCGGAAGGGACCTCAATAGATCATCGAGTCTGACCCCCTGCATAAGCAGGAAAG